CACACACACACACACATAGGGTATGATGGTAAAAAAAAGGCAGAGAGAGTGCGACTATAAAACAACAGAGTGTGTGTCGAGGGGTGTCCTGGGCAGCAAGAAATGGGGACACAGATGAAGGATGGATTGGATTCAGGAACAGGAAAGAGCTGCACTGACCAGTCACCAGAAACTAACAGGGATTACTCCTCCGTGGGTGTGTGTCTCTCATGCACACACCACACCAACACAGACAGATTGTGGTGAACTTCCAATCAGGTTACGAGCCGGTAAGGGGTTGTGGAACATCACAGCTGCGCCTAACGCTTCTGTCGAGGTTTTGGGTTAGATCAGCTCTATCCGCGAGCTCCTGTAGGCGATTTTTTTCATTTTCCTGAACTCTGGAAGTCTCACCGGTTTCTGGTGCCGTGAGCACACACCCGACACACGTATAACCCGCAATTGCCAACGGCACCCCGACAAAACACGAAACCTCTTTCATTTAATGCAGGATTGTACTAAGGGAATTTAAAACGAGGATGAGCTTACAATGGCCACATGCACTGGACGCGCCTACAAACACAAACCTCGTTCATTTACTGTTGCAGGATGTAACTAGGAATGGACAGGGATGAGCTACAATTGGGGCCCACTGGCACTGACTGCTGTGTGCTGTTGCTGTTGCTGTTGCTGTTGCGTGTGTCAGGTGAACACATGTCCTCGTTCAGCCCCAGTTTCTCAGTGACAGACAGCCCCGCGCTCTAGAGTTACAGCCTGGCCTTGTTCACACGACTTTATACCCACAAACACACACAAACTGGCAAAGCTGCCTGGGGGCTGAGGTTACAGTGGCCTATTTACGAGGGAGATTTGGTCACAATGAACGGTAAGAGACACTGATGAGGACACACGCAGGTCAGATAGGGACAAATGAATGCAATGGAGGTCAATTTGATATATATGATAATATATAGTATTATTGTGCTTAGTTTGGGTGAATGTTTTACCATTGTTGCAGCTTTTTGCATGAATATCTTCTCTTTGGTTTAGGTTTCTAAACATACATGAGGGGAAATTTAAAAAAGCAAATGGAAAGAAAAAAAAACTGGCCTTTATCAAGTATAGTTTACCAATTGCTTACAACACTGCCATGATTTATTCATTCAGAAGTTAGAGCAACATTCTTTTTTTTTTTGGTCTTGTGTTTTTTTCACTCTCTTTTTGCTCTGTTTTTGGTCGCTACCTCTTTAAGGGGAAAACCAAAGTATATACAGTTCTTCCAGAGGAGGACCTGAATGACTGCACCTAATTTCATGGCAATCCATCCAGTGAGTGTTTTATGTTTGGCTAATTTGCATCAGTAATTAGCACTTTATGTTTATAAAAAACTAAATAAAATAATAAAAAACTTAAGAGCAAAGACCTAGAATCAGACGCACTAGTGGAGAGTCTGGAACAAGAAAAATAAAGGCAGTTTCCAGTTTAAACCTAGTAATATGAGGCTGGACTGCAGTGATAATGGTCTCAGTCATTCATGAGGTCAGAGCGTGGACAGTCACATCTGTAACTCACACAATCCAGTGAGCTCCTCGCTTCATAATCTGCTTAATAGACATCAACAGATTGCCGCTGTCAGTGTGTGCATGTGGTTTGGGGTATTAATAAAAAATGATATGACGCGTGTTTGTACCAAAAACATCTGTGCCATCATCACATAACTAATGACAGACAGTGGCTAAATATTTCTAAATGTCAGGGATCGCCTGGGGACGCAAGCAAATATTATAATATGTCCTCGGCATATGCACAGTGTTTGATTACCAGCAGAAGAGGATTTTTCAGTGAATCTTATTGGGCTTCTTAATTTGCTGCAATGCAATGATTTCTTCAAGGTTCTTTCAAAAACTACTTACCGGGGCGCATGGTAGCTCACCTGATAACGCGCACCCTATGCAGACTAAGTGCTTACCACAGCGGCCCGGGCCCTTTGCTGCAGGTTGCCCCCTCTCTCTCACCCGTCCTTCCCTATCCTGTCAAATAAATGCATAAAAGTCCACCGAAAAATCTTAAAAAACAACAACAAAACTCTTCGTACTATAGTTTTCCACTTTACTTTAATATAGGACCCTGTTTGTATAGACATGGCAAACTCAAGTCTTACTCCATTCACCTGGACCTTGTCTTAAACTTTGTTTATGGCCCATCATTATTTTTATATTCTATTTATAGAATATGAAGTGTCTATGTAAATCATACAAAAGACTGAGCCTGTATCAAATGGGTTCCTCTGGGATTTTTCTTAATAAGCAACAGGATATATATCAGTGGTCCATGTCCCAAGTAAAGTAATGCCGTCCTATAGGTCATGAAAGGTTGAGTTAAAGTAATTTTAGTTTAGAAATGTAGTTACTGTGGATAATCAACAGTCGAAAGACACAATAATCCCCATTCCCAAATGACCAAACTGTGGGTGGGGGTTAGGTAATAAAGGTCCTAAATTAGTATCAGTAACATGGAAGTAGTTTTCAAGTTATAAATAACAACTATGCATCTTTAGAGTGATGGTGTGATACTACAGTAACATGGTAACGATATACAATACTGTAAGATACTATTTTGTATTTGAGACACCTCAGGGGAGAAGGTAACAAACAGGGTTGGGAGGGTTACTTGAAAAGTGTAATCTGATACAATTAGTAATTACCTGTTAAAAAATCTTTGTAATCAGTAATCTAATCCAAGTATCACAATATTAATGTTACCTTACTTGATTACTTTCTGTTATTTTTGGTTACCTCAGCACCAAATGTGAAAATAAAGACAAGGGAAAAGAAATATCAATTGTACATATTCTGTAAGACAACAGAACAATTTAACCTTAGGGGGAAAAATGGAAACCAATACCTTTATGATCAAATATGTGTCTTCTGCTCAGTGTTCTTTAAGAAAAATGTGCTTTTCATTAAGCAAATTCAGGCAGTAGCCAGTAGACATTTTCACAGCTGGAGGCCAGAACTTGCACTGTACTGTGATGTTATTCCTTTATCTGCTTTACCAACAAAATAATGGGGAAATTTCCACCCAGTGAAAGTATTTTTTCACTAGAGGCCATGATAATGAATTAGCAACTGTAGGATTAGCTATGGTTAGACTGAGACCAGAGTGGTGCTGTGTTTCTAGTGTTGTGCATAGAATGTCGTTCTTTGTTATAAAATGTATTCTAAAATTGGAATCCTGCTAATAATCCCAATTTTCTAAATGTAACTGTAATTTAGATTACATCTTTTTCTTTCTCTAATGTATTATAGTTTTTTGTATCCTTGACTCTGTTACATGTAATCAGTTACTCCCCAAGCTTGGTGATGGACATTATGCAATTTATCAGGGGACAATGTCCATGTAGACCATCAGCAAAAAAATGTGAGTTCTGACCGTGACCTTTGGCCTGTCCCTGGAGGGAAAAGAAGAGTATTCACTAACAGATACCAATTAACTGTCACATCATTTTCTCTTCCTTGTGTTCATTCAGCCTCAGTGAGCAGGATAAACAACATTGATCTGAGCAGACACTGAGGGGTAGAGACGGGTTTCGTACCCAAAATAACTAAAGGAGAATAATTTTCTGTATAATCTTTCATTCTGCTCCTATAGTAAAAGCAAGTCCTGCACTCACACACGCTGAGTCAGTATTTTGATACAGACAGCATATGTGTGTGTGTGTGTGTGTGTGTGTGTGTGTGCGCTGTCGGCCCGGAGCATCCTCTCACTCCTAACAGTTGTGACAGAGCAGACTCAGGTGAAGCATCCGCAGTGCAAACACTGTCTTAGAGCGCCCTCTGTTGGACTGAACACGAGTTGCAGCTTAAATGCCTGTGAACCTGTAGACACTCACACAGAGGAAGAGTACATTTCTTTTAATTATCCCTTCTGCTTGTGACAGCCAGGGAAATAAACAAATACTGCAAGCATAAAGAATGTATTCCCACGCAATGTGATTTGAAATGTAGTGATTTATTTCATGCTAAAGCTTGAAGATTGATCAATATAAACCCCCAGAAAATAACAGTAATAAATACAGCAAATCAGTCATATCATCATACAGAGAAACTTATTTTGCACTTGTTTTTTTTTATTTTTTTTAGAAAAAAAAAAAGAAAAAAAAAAGGAGCTCAAGTAATAAAAGAGATATGAAATTCAATTTCTCAAACTGTGGAGTGATTCAGTACAGATTTCTATCTCAGCACTTGAGTACAGAGCAGAGTACGTCTGTTCAGATAACGGTGAGAAATTAGATTTGATGTGTTCGCACTGGAACAGATTAGAGATATGGCGGATACATTCATTGTTTTTGGTCAGCTATTTATCCACAGTAGTCGAATGAATCTTAAACAGAATCATCAGAAGTTTCAGCACAAAAAAAAAAAACAAAAGAAAAAAGCCCAGCAGTGATTATAAAGAGAGGAGCGGAGAGCGGACAATGATGTTTTAGAGTGTCATCTGTGTTTTTATGCAATCCCTGCACAGCAGATAGTGATTCCCCTCTTTCACAACCACGGTAAAATCTACACTAAAGTACAATTAGAGCAGGCGGTGTAGACCTTTCCATAGGGGGGGGGGCTTGATTGCATATCTAGAAACTGACACTAGTGTAAAATACAGGATTTTCTCCACAAAGACTTAATGTGCACAATTCAGGAAAAAACATTGATTGTTTCCAGTGTCTAGTAATCTCTAACTAGGCCAATTAAGGTACAAAGTGAGATACAATTTTATTTTTTTTTTACACTTGCAACACTCTCAGTCAAACATTACAGAGGGCGATGAGAAAGTACCTTTACATCAACTATAGTTTCCAATAAATAAATGCTGCGATTCTCTCTGTGACTATTCAGGACACGATAGCGACATCTGAGCCTGTCTTGGAAAAGTGCTGAAAACACACACCTGAATACACACCCTGCTCACACACTCTGTACCGCCTCCATGCACTTTGGTTTTCCTCAGGTTCAATTCATACACTCAGTCTCGCGCACACACACACACACCACCAGTACAAACAGACGCTGTAAAACATTCGTTCAGTATTAAGCACATGGCGTTCGTAGAGGGCGGATATCGTAACGCGAGGCTCACAGATGTTCGTACGCCTTCTGAAGGAGAAACAATCCACCAGCAGCCTAAAACTCACAAAGATGAACCGCCGTCACCTTGATATTTACGTAAACTTAACTGTGACTAACTGTGTGCTTGTAGCGTTGTACCCCGCCTATGCACTATAACGTCGGAAGCAGCATTTCAGTGCTCGGTAAAAGCCCCGTCGAATCAGAGCTTACCCATCAGTGTGTTTGCAGATAGCGTTTAGTCTCAGATTCATTAAAAGGTCAAAATAATTAAGACCCACGAAAACTAATGCAAGTGGAAGGGAGAGCATCAAAGCGTGCCTGGGTATACCTAATCCATTCAGTGTGAACGTAAGGTTGGATAAGTACCACGTTTTAGGAGCTCTGTGTTGCTCTAGAGTCCTAAAAGAAAGAAATATGACCACCCTATGTGTGGAAATCGAGATGGGAGGAGGGAGGAAGAAGGGAGAAAAGGAACACTGGAGCCGCAAGAGTGAGAGAAAACGAAAGACAGCGTGAGTTCCAGAGAGAGAGACAGCTGTCCAGGCCCTGCAAGGCCCCATCTTCCCCCTTCAAAACAGGACCGGAGGAGGGCCCGTCTCCCCACCCTGCACCCCTCCTCTATCGATCCCTCCATCCCCACCCGACGGATGACTCCCCGGCTGGTGAGAAACGATAGGGCCCAGCGACTAACACACACCCACTGAGGGTATAATTGAGTGGGCAGCATCTGGGTGTCTGCCTGCATCCTGCTGCGTGGTTGGTCTCTCGGTGAACACACACAGATATCCTCGCGCACAAAGCTCATTAAAAATGACCAACCAAGCAGAGGAGACAGGGACAATTATCAGAATCAGTCGAGTCAGAACCAGTCTCCAAATAAAACCGAATGAGAGACGCACACAGCTCGAAGTTTCTTCATCGGAAAGTTAATAGACTCGCTTACATGATGCAACAGGATGTGCTGGGCCCCCAGTTAAGTACCTTCACTTAGTTGTGACTATGGCAGAACAGCCAATCATTATTTGATCAATACACTCCTTCTAATTGGATTCCTCATATCTACATACACATGGTTATATTTTTTCTAAATCCCTTATAAAGGGCCTATCTTAACAATCCAAACACGAGGGACCAAAATGTCTGCTCAGGTAGGAAAACTAAACTCAAAACTTGAACCAGTTGCACTCTTACATCTCTGTACGCTAACAAAACCATCGTATTACATTATAATGAACCACTTTAGTTCATTTAACATCCCCATCCTTTTCAGTCTTAACTTATCCAAGGCCCGGTCACACCACAACTGAACTGAACCTGCGTCTGTATGCAAAAATGTTTTTCATTAAGCTTGGTGACTCAGTGATTACGGCTGCCATTTGCGCTTTTTTATCATTATTGATTCATTTTGTTGTTCGTTAAAAGGCTCGCTAGCCAACCAGGACATGCTAGGGCTAGTCGGTCACAATGGGTCGCCAAGCTTCTCTCAGTGTTCTCTGTGCTAGGCTGTTCTCTCCCCCTGGCATTGTATTTTCAGGTTTATCCGTCATTTCATTAAATTAAGTTCTACTGACATCGGAGGAAAAAACAAGCTGTCAGTAAGCAAACTCATTAGCTGGGCCGCTAACGGGGGCATCAAATCCACGTCTGTATGTACCATCGACTGTCATAACTGTAACTGTCTGCAAACCATCTTCTGTGGAGCAGTTTATACTAGCCAACTTATCTGTTCTCTCAAATGTCGCCGTTTACTCTCACGCGCAAATCTACTTACTGTGACGATTCCATTGGAATTAATTGATTTTGCTGCAAAGTGTTGCCGTTTTAACCGCCGGTGTGACCGGGCCATCAGGAGGACAAAACTTAACACTCTGACCATGACTCAGCAGATTCATCAGATTAGAAGTTTAGGGATATGTAAGACATTCTCTTTCCTCAAAACTGCGCAAACGCAGTTCTTTGGTACATTCCATCACCGGTATTAATGAAATGTAAGCGGCACTGAAAAATCGTTAAAGACCTTAAAAGGGAATCATGTACATAAAAAAGGATAAGTATTATGAATACCTGAGAAAGATTTTTTTTTTTTTTTAAATAAAAAAACATGCCATAAATCTAGGCGTGGAGAGAAAAAAAAAAACGAGGGCTAAAAACGTAGTTGACAGAGAAAAGAGACTCTTTGTTCAAAGACTCGGCAGTTCTCCTCACAACATTACATTCAGTTACATCAGCCACACCTTGTTTTTCCTTTCTGATTCAGCCATCGCCCACTCTGATCTAAAATAAAAAGGGGAGAAATGCAGCAATCGAGAAGCGTTTCTCCTTTTGTCTGTTAGAAGTGTAAGTAATATGTGAAAACCCTTAGGCGTACATATACACACACACATACACACACGCTCTGTGTTGATCTCCACTGGACTTATTTCACATGACTAAAGCCGGCCCTTGTCTTTGTAGCACCAGCTGAGAAGTCTCGTTAAGGCCAGCTCGTTAGGAGAGGGCCGTCTCCGTGGCAACAGCTGGGTGACATCAGGTCTGTTGTGCGACGTCCGCCGAATTGGACGCCATTTGTCAGTAGTAGGACATTAAGTGTTTTTGGTTTAAAGAGTCAGTCGAGCAGCAAGGCTTTGTTGCATTGTTCAGCCTCAGGATGGTGAACAGGAGGAGTGTGTTCGCTTCCAGGCCTGCAGTGTTCAGAAGAAAGAAAAAAAAACACCTGCCTGATTCTCAGTCTCCGTACGCTCAGATGTGACGTCTCAGAGCATTTTCAGCGTGTGTTTGTGAGCTCGACACACACATCTCCACACGTCCCCTCTGCAGCGCGTCTTCATCAGTAGAACTTATCATCGATGCGGAAGTGTGGCCTGGTGACGTCGTCTGGGTTGAGGAAGACGGATATGGATTTCCCAGGGTTCTCAGTGACCAGCTGCTGCAGTCGCTGCGCCAGCTTGTCCTCCGAAGGCGAGATGATGCCGTTGGCCGGGTGGTGCCCGGGGGAGCCGTGGCCGTTGGTGGCGCTAGCCGTGAGCTCCTTCTTCAGCTGGCCCGCCTGCTGCGCTTGGTCCAGAGCCGCCCGGAGGTGCTCGCTGGGATCCGAGCGCACGTGGGCGAGTTTTCTGGCGACGAGCAGCGCCTGGCTGTCTGTCAGGTGCTCCAACATGTTGCACTGGGGCAGGAAGTAGTTTGGGCAGTTTTTGCCTAGGATGCAATGAGCCAGGTCATCGAGGAGACCCAGGAGGAGGCGGCCGGGGGTGTCTGCGTCAGGGCAGGACAGGTAGGCGGCAGGAAGTCGGTCACAGGCCCAGAACAGAAGAGTGCGCAGGTGATAGAGGCTGAGACCCGCACGCGGTCGGGCCAGGATACGAGACAACACGGCTTTGGCTGCTTGGAAAGCCTGGGCCATGGGGTAGGGGATGCACTTCTTCAACTGAACCTGGTAACAAGGAAAAGAAAAAATGCAAGGAAAGAAAACCAGATGGAAATGTTTTACCGATTCTTTGAACTAATACAACGTGGCACCAGATGTGACACAGAAATATAAGCTACATTAACAATCCCCCCACCTCGCTGCGTGAGAATGCCAGCCTCCACTCCCTGTCGGGCCGACCACCCAGCGGGGAGCAGCAGGGCAGCAGATAGAAGCCAGATATGGCCTCCTCCTCTGTGATTTTCCCGTCCCAGAAGTGGTTGGCGGTCAGCCAGCCTTGGGCCACAGCAGGCCAGCCCCGAAACGACACCACAGGCAGCAAGTCGTACAGCACCCGACTGGAGCCCGCCTGCAGGGAGGAGGGTGGTGGAATATTAGAACAGCACTGACTCCTGAATTTGCATTCCTCTGACAAACATTGTTGCAGGGTGATTTCATGAAAATGATTTGAACATTTGGCTGCAATCTGTTCCAATATTGATGTCACACACACACGAGTATGTCCTCTTTTAATGAGCAATTATAGAGCGGGAGTTTTTGACCTCTAGTCAGTGCTATTACGCTACATGGATGCAAACCGTGCTTGATTTAAAATGGAAAAAAATAAAAATGATCATTATTCCAGCATGGGGACAGTTTCTCAAGCTGTACCTGGAGGATGATAGTGGTGAGGGGTCCGTTCCTCTCTAGTCGGTCTGGGGTGGGAATGCCTCTCTGGGGACTGCGCCTCAGCTCCTCCACAGCCTCGCTCACCACCGCCCAGAACCAGTCTGTCACCAGGGAGGGAGAGAAGTAGCATCCATCCAGAGACTGAGGGGAGCCCAGGGAGGGGATGGAGCCTTTCCCTGAGCAAGGAAGATGCAGAATGGGAGGGATGAATGCTGGGTCTCTCCCATGCAGACCAGTGACTAGATTCACCAAACTCACAGGGCAATGAGAGCAATACAACTTAAATTGTTATTTAGTAAACCAGAGATTCCACATTCATGGCCGATGTCCAGCAGGTGGAGCCCAACGGGACCTGGCAGGGATGTACTTTCTACACTTGACTGCTTGACTCTGTAGCCTGGTAAAATAGTAAGTTAGACTAGTTGGTGCATTTATACACACTTCAGAAGTCCAAAGTTCTAGTTAAAACCGAATCACTCAGGAATTTGGACATGACTTGGTTTTAGTTTTCCTTTCCGTAATAGTGAAACGGTGGGGAGCCGATACGGAACCAGCCTACAATATACTGTATGTACCTTTGGGTTAAAATCTGATTCAAACTCATGTCCCTGTTGCCCTCTTTTTAACCTCTCAGTAGCATTTTGGTGTGATACTTTACATCACTAAATCACCCCATCCTGCCACCACAAATACCCTCACATAAGATCCTGTGGGAAATGTAACAATACAACCGGAAAATGCGGCAAATGTGTTTCCCAAATTGCTGAAAATTAAAGAGATTCATATCAATAAATGTCATTACTTTTTCTCATCTTGGATGTTTCCCACTCGCGAGCGTGTGACAGATTGATGTCGCGGTGTAATCTGGAAGCCGCCGTGCAAATCTTGAACTTTCGATTGTGAAGTTATACTCATAAATGTTTCAGTGCATATTTCCTGGGCAGGCTTTTCTCGTTTCACCTATTTGAGGCTATATAAGGGGCCCCCGCTGCGGCTTTGCCGAGCAGAATTGCATCACAACATCATGCATCAAATTATCTCAGTGAAACATAAATGAAATTCAATCAGCTCCCATTCCTTCCACTCTGCCCTGCTACAGTACCTTCGTTGTTGTCTGCTCCACTCCTCCTCTGTCTCTTCACTTATCTCTTCATCTTTCTATTTCCTATACTTGCTTACCCATCCTCCTTCCACTGTAGTTTGTTTTCTAACTCTATCCCTGCTGCTCTTTCCATTCTTACCTCATCCATTCACCTTTTGTCCCCCATTTCCTCTTCCCCATTGCCAATTCCTTCTCTGCCCCCCGCTATGATTATCCTACTTTTTCTACTCACCCATTTCTCCCTCTTCCTCCTCGTCTTCCTCGGGGGAAAGTCCGTTTTCCTCCTGGCAGCAGATGCCCCAGCGGGACAGGATGTTGGAGTCGCAGAGGCGAAGGCTGAGCCACGAGTGGCAGGGTGGGGAGTGCCTCATATCCAGGGTGACGGGCTGGTTGCGGTCATGGAGCTTGAGGGCGGGCACCAGCAGGGTGAAGTCCAGGTCAAAGTCAGCCCCTTTGGCGTAGTCCCCCAGGTCCTCGGGGTTGAGGTCCAAGACACCTTCCCGGGCCCCGCCTGAAAGGAGCAGGTACTCGTTGGCCACCGGGAGGCGCTGGTCTACCTTCTGTACTAGGCCTGGAAGAGGAGGAAGAGAATCACACTCAGGATAATTCAAACTCAGAGCTGTTGGTATGAAGAACTGCAGAACGAGTCCGAGGGGCGATGAGCAGGAGGTTTTCAGTAGTGCTCTCCCTTACTCACAGCTGCACACACATTTAAACGCGTTTTATATTCAGACGCATGGACAAGCTCAGAGTATGAACGCACCGGGACAGAAAGTGGGTGAGCCTGGAAAATGTCTGGCTTAGCTTGTTTTGAGAGGTGCTGCATATATTGATGCGTCTGAGCTGCAGTGATATTGACACAAGGGGTAGTGTGAAATGAACAGCCTCGGTTGACCACTAAACACTAATGATCATTTCAGGGGCTCGCCTACATGTGTCCACTAACGCAATGCATCTATACCATGACTGGAAGAGGGTTTCTCCTGTTCTAGATAAGCAGGCAAAGGGAATTGACTTAAAGGAGGGTTCTGGTTAAATGTAACGTGGGTCATATTTTTGTAGTTTGGTTAACTAATTGCTGAGATCTGGGAACACGGCAGTATCATTAACAGGAAGTCTGCTGGGGCCAGAAACACAAGCAATCAGACGATCACCTTGTTATATTCTTATTATATTTTAGGCCCGGCTGCACCATCATTTTCCAGAGTGCTAAAAAGCCTAGCTCTTCTCTCTGGACAGTTTATATGAGAGAAACTGGAGCCTTCAAATCCCTTTATGGCTACTTAGCTGTGTTGTAAACTTTCCAGGCTCTGGGGCCCATGGGAGTCGCAGTACTGGAGTCAAGTAAATTACGTTTTGCCAGCTTAAAAGAGCAACTGAGAAAGGCTTGATCCTACGGCCAAGCCTGTGCTGGTCTGCAGCTAACTGCTACTGTAGCTACGATAGGTCAAAGGTAAAGCATGGACACTTAAAAAAGCCTTCGCAGGGGAGCGATTGTGAGAGCATGGGCTCAAGTGTTTATCCCCCGCAGGGCAGTTAAGTGGCTGCAGAAAGCTGAAACAGGGGCATCAGACCAAGCCGGCAGGCTATGGCTGGGGGCACAAAGCTCCTAACATGATTCTCTCATCCAATTACATGGGCACACAACCTTAGTGGCATGTTTTCATGTCGAGGCGTGTTGTGTGACCCAAGTGTGTTTGGATGAGAAAAATTGTGTGAGCGAGTCAAAATCCCAGATGGGAAGGAAAAAGCCAGTGATACTCACCGAGCAGATCCATGGAAAGTTTTGGGGGAATTTAAAGTGACGAAACTATTGAAAACTACTGAATTTAAGACGGCTGATTTGGCTGTTTTACTACTACCTCCTCCTCGTGAGTAGAACTTGAAGTACCCACGTTAATAAATTATGACCAATCACGGTCTGGCTGAGAAACACATCCCCTCACGAGAGCAGCCTTCAAATCCACAGAATCATTTGCTACTTTACATTAAAAGGGTAGCTGGAGCAGTTTGATGGAATATAAAAGAAATAAAGGGAAAACATCCAGAGAGTGGAAATGAACGAGCGACTAAAGTGGGAGCCGAAGTCAAATGTGCCGACGAGGCTTTCTCTGGTGCTTTGCTTTGAAACGGAGCTAAATGAAAGTCGTCTGACGCGACCACAGGGGGAGCGGTCCAAGAGAAGAAGAAACATAAGAAGTATGTGACAGCGCATCTTTGGATTTTGGTATTTCTCAGCAGGATCAGCTCATCTCCCTCTGCAAGCTCCATTCATCTCCTGACTACACTACAGCAGCTCAGGCTTTATCCAGAGCGCTTAAGTTCCTCAGGATCTTCCGACTCTGTACTCTACCATGAACGCCAGCTTAAGTCCATGCAGGCATCCAGCTTCAAATATGTGGCAAATGTTGCACTTTATTAAAGTGGTACAGATTTTAAGGGGAGTAGAGATCAGAATTAGTATGTAGAAATTGACTGTGTGCTGTAAATTATGATTAGGTGTGACACACTGGGAGGAAACAGACCTGACTGAGCTCTTTGATGATGACTGGTGATGATACGCTCCAGGTTCTATTCAGATATTACATGTGATTAAGTTGTTCAGTTATTTGGTGGGTTAAAATCGACTTATTTATAAACATCCCACTGCCATTTATTGTAATGGCACTACATACAACCAACCTCAAAAGCTGCATGTGAGGGCTTCTTTCTCCCACGTCTACACTAAACTTAAAATTCAAAAAGTCAGTACTGCTCTCTCTGACATTAATTGGTAATGAGTTCCACTTCCCTGCTGCCCTGACTTATTAAAGAGGTCTGAACGAACTTTGTGGAGCAAAATTTCATGTCATGCTCCCGGCTCTCAAGCAGCACTACAGGTTGTTGCAAAATTATTTGGTGAGTTGTCCAAGGCAATTCAAGGAGCAGAGTAAGGTTGAGTGATGGGACAAGTGCCTCATCAATCAGCGATCGATAAGCTCAACCTGTGACGATGTACTTTAAACCCCAAACGTATATTTCTGCTTCATCAGCATTCAAGATGTAGCAGCAGTCCATCATACTTAACGCCTCTCTCTGAAGTGCATGCGACTCGCAAAACAAAATTATGGCCAATCGATTATCAAAACTTGAAATCTGTTAGGCTGGAAAGAGTGGAGAAACACTGGATGGGCAGATCAAAGCGAAGCAGGGAGGGGTGGGAAAGAGTGTCAGAGGGAGGAAAGGATCAGACACCAGCCAAAGGGCAACGAGTTTGAAGCTGCGACTCCTCTGATTTGTTTGGTTTTTATCTGCCACTGATAAATTGGGTCAAATAGGCGAGGAGGAGGAAAGGGGTGATGAAAAAGAGAATAAAGAGCATCTTATCTCTCCAGCAGGGGCTTCAGTTAGAGCGGGGAGAGCGCAGAGGAAAAGCTGTATCAATTAGCGAGGCTTCTTCAATCTCCACGCTGGCTGCGGGAAGTTTGAGGTTGTTCCAAGGAACACAATCTACTTTTTAATCCAAACTCTCAAATCGACAGTCGTGCGCTGCGTAATGCTGGGCATTGGCCAGCCGACGTGCATGCACACACACGCTCGGCTGCGCACATGAACACACTCCAACATATATGCCTGTAGACACACACAGTGTGAGAATAGAGCTGGAATGGAGACAGTCTAGGCTGGTTTCACAGCCACGGATTAAACCTAATCCTATAAGAAATGGCTTTGAATGTAGATTTCCATTAGAGGGAAGTTTTTAGATAAGAGCTATTTTCAGACTAGACCCAATTCCATGTGTGTGAATTGAGTATTTGATGGTTTTGGTGACTGCATCAGTCTCAGTGTGTGGTAATAGTAAAGCCTACCTACCTACCTTTTACACACTACTGTAAGGCCTGCAGCTGACCCTGTGTCTCCAAAAGAAAAAACACCCATTTAACCAGTGAAACATTTACAAAATCTTATTCAGAATTCAAATTTAAAAATAACCCTAATGCATTGTAATAAACCAGAGAAGGTTTTATACACCTAGCCACAGCAAGGGCATCCCCTTTAATACATCTCTGGCCTGCCTCAAAATATGAAAAAATACAAAATGAAAACATTATTAAAAAACTAATTTACCATGACTTCAAAATAAATAGATGATTTATTTGAGCTCTATTTTGTCATCAGTCTTGGGAGTTTGCTAACAATGCTGTACTGTACATCACTGTGTGATATTACACACTGCTGTATTGAACTGCATCAATACAGCATGGCCTCACATATTAAACTGACTGTGAGTTCCCTGGTGTTTGGACTGAACGGCTTCTAATTTTATCATTGCTTTACACTGAAGTTTGCAATGGTTCACAAGTAAAAGAACAGTTATACTGTACTTTCCTGAAAATTAAACAGACCGAACACACAGACGATTCAGGCATTGCCCACTTTCAAAATGAAGCCGAAAAGTGACACTGCGGAGAAATCCCCCCTGAAGCAGAGCAGCGGCATCATGGGAAAGACGTCCTTTCTCATCACAACCGAAGCAGAGTGAAAATGTTCTGCCACGCACCTCTAGTTCGATAGGCTCCAAAAAAAGCTCTGTAAATCTCTCTGGAAAATGGGATTCCTCTAAATAAGCCGATGACTTCTATATGCTGTTGATGGAGGGGGCTGCACCAATAACTGGGATGTAGGCTAAGTGATAGTGATGCCGTTTTTTCAGCATTTATTTGGTACATGTATTTAACCGGACAGTTGACCATACCCTCACACCCTGCCGAATGTGCATGAGACCCGTATGACCACAGATGAATGAACATCCACTGTACATTTAAGCAGAATGTGGTTTTATCCACTTCTACTGCCCTGATAACACCAGTACTTTCACTGTCCTGGTGAAAACTGACCCATCCTCAACAGAGAAAAGGGAAGCATACTTGATGATGACTGACGTTTAGCCTTTCACCACCCACCGTTCAGCCAGCAGGACTTATTATAAAAAAAGATTACATGAACATGCAGTCACTGTGGTCATTTTTAAAGAGACTGCTGAGTTATGAAAAACAATCCAGGTACATGGCCTTCAAAATGTACTGTCTCTCCACAGTCCTGCTGTCCAACGAAGTAAAAAACAGTTAAAAGGAATAGTTCAACATTATGGCATATAGTTACTTGCTGAGTGTTACATAAGACAATAAATAGCACTCTCGTGTCTGTGTGCTAAATATGAAGCTGCAAGGCTAACTTAGCTTAGCGCAAAGACTGGAAACAGGGGCGAACTGGTAGCCTGGCTCTGTCTAAAGGCAAAACTAGCGAGTTCTATCTGGTTTGTTTGATCTGTACAAAAACGTCCTGTTTTTAAAAGTTTAAAAATGTTGTTTCGTCACAAAGAGGTTGCTAGGTAACCAGCAGAGGCTGAAGCCTTGCTGTTTACCCTTTCTGTTAAGCTGAAGGTCTCCTGACTGTAGCTTCATATTTAACAGATATGAGTGTGGCATGTTGTTATCCAACTCTTGGAACGAGAGTTTTTCCTAAAATTCCTTTAAAAACCTTATGTTCAAATGAATAGCAAGGATTTAATGATATAAAATAAGTGGGGCG